ATATTTAAACGTCAACATCCCTGAAAATTTACTATATACACACACATGTATGCATGTATGTCCCTCGCTATCAAATTATTGTCATACGATATCCAATAGGTGTCAAACGATTCGTAACAATTCATTTACTTATTTCATCCTCTCCCTAACCATCCTACTAGGATTATAATGTTACTCTACTCTATTCTATAGTACTCTTGTCTATAGTTTACGCGAGTAGTACACATGAGACACGTGACGTCCCCGTGACCACGGCTGCTGCAAAGCATCCGAAACGACGGGCCGAAGTTAAAAATCATTTTCAAATAAGTTTAACTAATATATCGCGTTTTAAACCGTTAAAGTGTTTTATTTAAATATGTTATTGTTATTTCAATGATCGATTGTATATTCAGGCAAGTAGTTAATGGAACTTCACTGCCATGTCCGGCCGGAACTATTTACATGTAGTTTCCTGGGATTCGTAAATCGTGTCAGTATTTACCTAGTAATGATGTAAGAACTTATGTCGTCACAAAGTAACATAACCTCAAACGTTGCACTCGTTCCTAAAATGGCGTATTGTTGTATTATTAGATGTGGCTTGTACATTCCCGATTTAAATGTGTCATTCAAAAGATAGTTATTAAGTGATCGCATCATTTACACGAGCATCGTACAATAAGTATATGCTTTTATGGTTGGTTCACGTAAAGTATGTTTTAGTTGTTCGTGTTCCCAGTTGGTTTTTTATAAAAAAGTTGTTCGTTCTAGAAAATACCACCACCATTAATTTTTAACTGCACTGCCTAGCAAACGTGTTAATAACAAGATGTTCTAGATTCGAATTTAGAAGACTCAATAATTAAGTTAAAAAAAAATAATTCATCAGAAGAGTCCTTCACCAAGTGTTTGGTGTTCGATTTAAATGTTTTATTTTATAAAGCAAAGTTGGGTTTATTTGTAAACGGCTCGAAATAATTACATGTCTTAATTAACAATTTGAAAGACAAATACTATTTTTAGATAATTAAAAGAGATAGTATATTTATAGTTTCTATTTCTTTTCTCTTGTACTTCATGTTGCCTGGGAGCGATCGCTGCTCAGGTATAAGGCTGCCATTATAAGTTAGTACGTAATTTTTTTTCTTTTTTGGTATGTGTTGTGATAAATAGTACATTTATAGAAGGATTTTTTATCAATTTTTTTGAACAATTAGCCTGAATGAATCATAGGCCCCCAAGATAGCCCCGAGGACCCAAGCCTGACGTCAAACACATTGTCTTCAATATCAAGGTCTTTAGATTTCTATGTATAATTAGAAAACACGTCGCATACCAAGAAGTGACCGTTCTAAAACATAAGTACCCAACGTCACACATAACGAACAAAGAGTCACGTTATGGACAATATTCACGGCTTTTATCATATTTTTTTCTTAATAAATACAAAGAGATCTAAGAAATATTCAAACACAAATATAGTGCTAGAATAATAGTTGTAGTTATAATATTTTCCTTTATTGGATTCAAAATTTGAAAATACGTAATTCGTAATGCTTATTACATGTAAATAGTCTTATGTTTACTTCCTTAGTCTAAATATACATTGTTATGATTTGTGATATAAGCCTTAATTTTATTCTACATTTACTGACATTCAAAAAGAATGTAGTACTGTTTGGTCATGATATCGGAGTTCTAATTTTTGTTCAACGAAATTGACTATAATACTGTGTATAAGCTGTGCCAGCGACTGATGTCTGCGTGGTATAGTTAGTTTGGGCTCAAAATGTATATTTACAAACAACCGGAACCTTCAGCTGCATATATTTTAAGTGTTGCCCACGACGTTGTCCGTGGCTCCGGGTTAATCGTAGAAGATGGACAGATACAGTTTTCCCAGCGCACGCAACTCAAAGCACTCAAGGCACACCTTGTATTTTTCACAGTTTCTTCGCTCTTCGGCTTTATAATAGTATCGAATTCTAAAGTGGTATTAGCTGTAATAGGTACGTGAATAGCAGCTGCACGATGATATCGTGAGTTCGAAACCCGCCAAAGTCGATTTTTTTTCGATTATTATCAGTCACTGCTCTAAACGATGGTCAAACTAGCCAACTGATCCACTAGTTTCTTCCTTGTACCGGCCATGAGGTGCTAATCGAACCAAGCATGCTTATGACGCGGTATCAGGCTTAGTCCCACTTAAGCCTGTTTGTCTTTCATGTTACTTTTTACCCGTGAACCTATTTCCGGCGAGTTAACTGGAACTACGTTTATCGCTCTGATAATTGAATCGTCCTCATGTAAAAAGCTAAATCCCGTTTTCCCAACGTCCTTATATGATCATGCTAAAATTTAAGTAAGGAAAAGTCTTATTATGGAAAATAAGACATATTTATTTATATGCAGTGACTAGCTTATATGCTCTGCTTAACAGAAACGGGGAGACTCCCCGTGACCACGGCTGCTGCAAAGCATGCAATCATTTTCAAATAAGTTTAACTAATATATCGCGTTTTAACTATAGACAGTATTTAAGAAACAATTTTTATTTTCCCCACTATCAAACCCTGGAACGTTCGCGCTTAACATAATAGAAATTCCAAATAAACACAGAAAAATTTAAGGAAACAAAAAATAAGTTTTCAAGTGCATTACATTTTCTTATATGAATGCAAATGATATCAATGTAAACATCGAAGAATATGTAAACAGTTATAAATGCCAGAATACGCGCGGTAATCCCATAATAAAACCCAAACATTTGCCTAATCTTCACAAATATCTTCGACATAAAATGTTTAACAATTGTTCGAACCAAACATGTATATGACGAAACGTGTGACTTTTCGATATGTTCGTTGCGATCGGAGTGTTAATAAAAAGAGCCTTAATTTTTACTGAATTCCCAATAAGACGCCAGATTAAGGCTGACCGAATCTGACGCTAAATTATTTTATGAGAGTGCAAAATTCGTCTGCCGCGTCCTTTGTAAACATAAAAATACACACAAATATACAAGGATTTTTAAATAACGTTTATTTTGATTTAACCAATATAAAAAACGTGTGTACAAATAATTTATTAGATTCTTTCAAGGTGGTCAAGGAAAAACTCTTCAAATAACAAAATTACCATTGAGCCCTAAAATATCTGTTCTAATGCTTAGGACAATCAACTGATCGCTACGTCCTACGCTATTTCCGTCCCAATAATCATTAATAAATTATTCAACCATTTAGTAGTAGTAGTCGTTAAAGCGCTGGAGTTATCTATGGTATAAACCTCTTGATCAGTGAGAGAAAAGAAACAGTGCCCAGCAGTTGATACTAACTAGGGGTTAGCAGCTGCTGATATTTTCAGTTAGTCTCATGAAATAAGAAATCCAAATAGCGAGTTAAATATGATTTAATTTCATAATTTTCTTAGCAATATGTAATTTCATTTTCAGCATCTCAATTATAAATATAGACATGGCGATACATTTAAACAGTAATATAACTTTGTGTATAGAAGCGCACGTATTATATTACGTCTTAGGTCGGAATGTTCTACGTATTGTCGACTATGTCTTATAAGTTTGGTTATAATGGAATGTCTAACATCGATCGTAATCCACACATAACGATGACAGCAATAGTAAATACATTCATAAATAACATACACTGGGCGTGGTTACAGTATACACTAAATTTAAATCATCTTTTCCTATAAGTTAAATATTTTATCTACTCATAATTACAGACAAACTTAACCCACTACTTACAAGAACACAAAATCGTGCACTGCCACCACAATATGGCACAGATCTCATTAAAATATTTATTTATAGTCTATCTACAATGTCCGTATTCAAATGTATGTCGGTATTTCTTATACACCATTTTCGGTTTAAATGACGAACATTGAAAGAAGTCTTTTGCTGTTAGTGCAGATCCTCAACAATTCAAAGTATTTTTCGGAAACATTTTAGATAACAATGAATCTGAACAAACAAAAATCTACCGTATAAAAGAATCGAATGAAGAAAGAGATTCAAGAACCCATCACGCACATACTAGCACTTAAAAAAAATATATACAAAATTCTCAAAATCATACACGGAATTCAATTCATACATTGTCGATTGGAAATATGAGGATAGACGTTCGGCAGATGTAGAAGATTTAGGTCGACTGTGGCAAATCACAAGAGAGCGATCGGTAGATTTAAATACAAAAACATTTAATACAATTTTACACTCTAACATCTACGTTTACAAGTTTCAAGTAACTTTCGATAAATAAGTAAACATATTAGTATATTTACAAGCGAATAACACGATCTATACTTAAAAGTGTAAAGCATTAAATAATAATACACTGAGAATTGACGTAAAGGCGCTATAAGTACATTACGGAAGCCAGCCGGGGCAGTGGAACTGTTAAAACACTAACGAATCGGTTCGGCGCTTGAAAGGTATAATTTGGAATCTCGGTATTACCGCGTCTCAAACATATCTCGTCTCGCAAGCTTTAAGTTCAGCGGTGGTCTGTCGGAAGACTCGTGACTAGTGAGACTGCTGTTTGCTCGTTCCACAGAACCTTTTTTCCTTTTAGAGCACGAGTATGAGCGCAGAAGAGCAAACGAGCGCCACATTACACAACCGTATGGAATTTCACAGCTCCAGACGTCCCGGCTCGGCTTTTTTGTCCCCATTCAAATGTTTGCTCTTTCTCTCGCTTCAGCTACCATTCATGAGGCGTTTGTGGTGCCGCGGCCACCGCGGCCTTTAACCTAACACTATCCAGTCCTCGTCACTGTAATAATACTGTGGTAGTTGACTAATACTCTGTCCACTCACAATGTCCATCGACAGCCGGCAACGAAACGCGCGAAGCGTTGAAGCGTAAATGTAGCTGCAAATGATGAGTCGAGTCGTCTACGTGCCATCGCAGTTCCGTCGCCTCTGATGTCTGCCGTGGTGGTGGCGGACGCCGTGGCAGTTGATCGAGTTCTGCGAGGGGGGCCGGAGTCTACGCTGCGGACGCCACTTGGGCACGGTGCCTGCGATCACAGTATTGTGTCTGTTTATGTCGAAGTCGTGGGCTTCCTTCAGGAGAGAGAAGCACTTGTGCTGCCGCTCGGGAAGGTTGCTCTTCCCGCGTCGCATCTGCGCCCCTCGCCTGTTGAAACCTATGTACCGATCTTCGTTCTTCACGAGGTGGTATCTGTTGTAGCCGTCCACAAACTCTTCTTTGAAAAGGCAATTCGGTTGTCTCTCTGCTTGAAATCGTGTCTGAGGACAAGTAAAATAGTTTAGAAAAATTTTATGACAAAGGAACCTTCATGGTATAAGTACCTTGTGATAAATATAAGAGCATATAAATATCTTTCTTTCTCTTTTCAATAATAGTTAAGTTGGATTAAACTTACCAATCTTCTGCCTACGAGTCGTGAGCGATTGAAGCAGAGGTACATGTCTTGCACTGGCGAATGGATGAGCAGGTCCAGACTTAAGCCGCGTGTGCTGATCGTGAGATTCGCTGTAACAAAAATAGATATTTTTAATAAAACATAATCAAGTCCTATTTAACGAGAACCTTTGAATGTCATTCAAACGCTTAACTGTGTACTACGTTGTAAGGTAGATTTTTTACGCTCCGTGCTATGACATAGTGGTAGTATTATAAATTCAATTAGCTGGATAGAAAGTCATAGGTGCAACATAGTTAATGATATTTAAATACTTATAAAGTACGAAAGTAAAAAGTCAATAAAAATTAATCTATTATTCGACAACAAGTTCATGACATGTGCTAGGCTTACATGGCGTTAAATATATTTAAAGTTCGTCAGTCAAAACGTTTTATTCTTGTAACTTTAAAAAAAATATTGGGTACAAAATAGCTAATCATAATTGTGAATACATTGCTATTGTTTTAGACTGCAAAGTTGTAGTCGATTTTGACAAGATATGACACCTATTATTTATATGACGATTTATAACAAATTATGTAAAAATAGAAGAAATATTTGCGAAAGATGTAATAAATCTTAATTACATGAAACCTAATATATTACATGAGATATTAATAAAACTTATTATGATTAAATTTTAACGGTAGAAATGGCTGCGATAAAAAGATCTTCGTACTGCATTAAAAGGATTTGATTATTTATAAACAGCATCATGTAAGCTCAGCCAACTCATCGATTAGATAACATATAGAGGAAAGTTCGAGTGGAATTCGATGACCTAACGCGATGGGACACGAATAAAAAGTAAAAAGGTAAAAGGTACCATCCGCCGCGACGACACCGCCCATATCATTTCAATTAACAATGAAATAAAAATAGCCGGACACGGACATGTTATGATTTTGATAACTAGAGTTGACTGAATTTGTTCGATCGGTCGGGGTAGAAGCTTGTATTTAAGAGTTTAATAAAAGCCTAAATTGTTTTTTAATCCGTTTAAGTTATTGATATAATTATATTATTTTTCACTCGCATGGCTCATGCGTTTTGAATTGACCGGCCTGTAGCTCAATTGGCAGAGTCTCTATTACTCGTGGGTTCAAGTCCCATCGATGTAAATTTTCCATTGCAAAATTAAATATCATCATTACGTGTTCTAATACAACCCTTCCGTTATAAAAATGTATTTGTTTCTCGATATAAGAACTCACAAACACTGATAACACTTAACTGAATTATGATATTATTCAATCTGTTTGTGTACGATGCTTTGTTAAAATTAATGATCTTTAACGTTATTATTACTTTCAACATTGTTTTTAAAATCAATATTAATTTGACTTGTTTCCAATTTACTTTCATTATTGTTTATGCAGTTCAATAAAAGAGTAACAAGATTTTTAATTCCAAAATATTATTTAATTTCTAGGACTGTGTCGTAGAATTCTTTTAACTCACCACGTGATCTAAGCCATGTTGATATATGTAATATACAATATTCTGTGCATAGTAATAGAATTGAACATATATCAAAATGAAATACATTAAAACGCTCGCTTTGCAACTCTTAATCCTATGAAACTGGGATTACCTAATACAATTCTAAGGCCCTCATTGAAAGGTTTACAAACAATTTTACGACGTCAATGGGCCGTATTTCTTTCGTAACAAGGAAAATATAAACATTGCCCAACGCCACAGAAGACGCAGGCTAATTTTTGGAAAGTCAACGTAATCTCAACTGCACAGTAAACACTTGCCTTTGATCTTGCCGACGGTAATTTTCACTTATCCACTCAGACGACCACCGACCTATAAATATCTAAACGCGGAATGGGAACTTACGTTCGTGCACAGAGCAGTTTTCTTAAGCAAAGATATTTCGTTATCCAGCAAAAATTCATACTAATTAAAATCTCATAATAAATAATAAAAAAGGCCTTGTTTTTAACTGGTGTGAATGCCTAATGCACGGCCACGTCGGGAAATAGTGACATGGGGAGTGTGTGTGTGGTATCGTATAGCCGACCAGAATGTCTAAACACACCACTGCCCACCCAGCCCTGGGAACAGGCAATTAGATCTAGAGAGAACCTTTAATAATTAAACCAGCAATATGATTGCGTTAGGGAAGAAGTGGAATCCTTTTTACCCCATAGTTGGATGTAAACACGATTCCTCCAAGAAGAGAAGTTATATAAACGAAAATAGAATGAATTTTTACCACTACACTAATAAAACCTAAAATGATACATTCTTATGTTAGTTACTTAAGGAATATTTCTCATAAACAACCAACCGAAAATTTAGTTTTTAATTTAACATGGCCTCATGTTATATGTTTGTAAAAGTACCCACACTACCGAGGAATATTTTTCGCTCTGACAAAGTTAATTTCTTAGATCAACATACGTAAATGATTGCCTGAATAACAGTAAACTTCAGGCGTATGTAGATTTCCCTTTTGCGTACAGAATTATAACAGTGCGTTAGTTTTCACTTGAAAAGTAATGGAAACCAACGTTGCGTTCTCAATTCGATGCGCGCTTTTCAAACGGCTAGGGCCGTCTATCTGTTTATCAGTCAAAGACCGGTAAGAACTACTTTAGACGCTGGAATGTGTACTGTAATCTTAGACAATAATAAATAAACAGAACGAAACCTAATATTGTAAAAGTCTTACTCAAATAATAATTATGCAGTCTATCAATTTATGATAATCCTGATGATTCGGAATAATTTGACTGGAACCGAGCATTTGAAATTTGTTAAATAAATCTTAAAATTCTTCCTGTCTCGTCATATAATATTTCGTAATAATAAACAATACGAATTCTTCAAAAACTGCAACACTTCAATTTTGAATGTAAGCAATAACATTATTTTATTTAGCATTATAACAGTAAATATTTACGACGTCAGCAAAATTTTTTCGAGGTTATTGGAGCAAAACAGCTCTAAGTAAATAAGTTTAAAGGTTACAAAAATATTTACTTCTCACTGTTCATCTTTAAGTGATTCGTGACTTTATTTTGCGGAGATATTGTTGAAAATAAATAAAAAATGTGCTAAAGACGACAGACCTACAACTGAAGGTTAATCTTGAGTTGCATAGGAAAATACAATTCTAAATTGTATCTACTTAATTCGTGTTATAGTGTTGCCATAAGAAGATTTTAGTACTTTTGATACTGTACTTAGTGCTGGAACTTTAAGGTACTTATGAAAATATCGAGTAATTTGTTAAAAATTGCAAGCATTAATTATAATCTATTATCGGAAAGTACAATACTTTCCTAAAACTATTCTCCTCAGTGATTAGCGATTATTGGTCAACGTCCGGCTATCGATATCGATACAATACAATCTCTATCGTTTTTATCAAAATTATAACCTGCATTTCCTTTTTGATAATTACGACGTCGTGTTGCCCGTTTCAATAGAAATTACATATCTTCAACTTCTTGTCGAATGACGTCACTATAAAAATAAAATACCTTCATTGAAATTATTTTATATCTACTTAATTATACGGCGCCATATTAATTATTATTGGCGGCGCCTGTCAAATCGAATTAAAATTATTACAGGTAAAAAAAACCGCAACTTATAATGTTTTACACGTTTCATACTATATTCCTTAATCATTATGGTGACGTGATTGTTATTATCTAAACTGTTTACGCAAAACAATTTTGTTTAATAAAAATACGTTTAATTAAATTTGATTATTTGCTCGTAAAAATTTATCACCGCCGTCCTTGTCTTCAATCAGACTACAAACATTAACATAACTTTTATGTAATCTACGTCAGTTGAGCGATAACTGTTTGATTAAAGGTTAAAATACGACTGTAAACTGTACTATAATTTTTGGTTCATTCCATTCGCGGAAGGAGAACTTAAATTTACTGTCCATTTTTAATGATTAATTAATACGAAGTTTACATTTTACGGCAGCCTATAAATTTGTGTCGCGTTAAACAAAATGGCGGTCATTGAAATTATGTAAAGTATGTTTTTATTGGAACAATTAAAATAAAAACAGCGGAAAATGTTAGAAACAAATACAATTTAAGAACAAAAAATTTAATAGACGGTATTTAATTAAGGGTCGTAACATAAGAGATTGTCTCATAACGGTAAAAGTATGTTTAAAGCATTTAGACTTAAGAAGATTAAAATGAGACGGATAAAGTCTAATCCAAAAGATAGTCACTGCGGTAGGTGTATGTAGTAAAGAAGGAACTAGATGCCAGCGCTCCTTTAATAACGAGACTGTTTCCATTACCACCTACAGCAACGAACAAAAAGTCAATGTACTTAACCAATGCGATTTTTTGTCGTTGGACACAGTCTCGTGCTGTCCGGAAAGTCTAGTTCTAATATTGAAGTGATGGAGCTCTGTTCAGAGTGAATATTAGGCACGAACATCACGTTATATGTTACTGCCGCTGTATCGAACTTACTAGGTTTCCTATAGTAATCCGTTTGCATCGATTCAATCGATGATAGTCTGTGTTAACTCTTTTTAGACAACAGTAAATAATCTTTTGTTCCGTACAAAGAGACTACTATTTTGTAGCTTCGTCATATATAAGATAGATCACGTGCCGTCCACCAGTGGAAACGAGTTCTTTCTGACGCCTGACGACAGGGAGCATACCAGCTTACCGTAAACATGGATTACCACTATTGAAGCCTTCAGTGTGTTCATGCCTTAATCTTACTCTTTATCTGCGCAATTAAACGCACTTGTTGAGCAAATACGCACGTTACTTAAGGCACAGTTGGCTTAAGATTAAAGCTAATGGCGGCGGTGGGCCCTTTAATTAAAAAAAGATCACTGTCATAATTGAAACTAGTATTGTCTGGTTTAGCTTTTTTGAATGAACTTTTTGGAAAACGAAAATGGCTACTTGTTGGGTAGATTAGTATTATGTGATCTCGAAAAATAATAAACGACACCACTGAACTTGAAATTAAACTTCTGAAAAAAAAGTTAAAGCCCCGTGTCTAAGCAATTATATATATGATAATACATAAGCACCAACCGCTGTTTTTT